CATTCCCTTCCACAATCAATTCCCCTATATAGCTAAAGAATTTCTAGACTCAACTTCGACCAGGTTAGCTTGGTAATCCTATAGGCAGTCAGGCTCTGATACCAAAGCTATCGGGACCCCGATTCTATGTCACACCGATCTAGCATCACACCTAATATCACTTTGCGGCCTCACGCACGGTATTCCCATGGGTGTCGCCTTACCATGGCCCGGGACCATTTGCGCCTTTTGGCTCACGTATATGATAGTATCGCTAGCATCCATATGATAGAGAACCCGGGCCGACATGACTAGTCGTGAACCCAAAGTGGCACTGACTTACAAGGATAGGCATACATGAAACAACATCAAGCATGTAGGTCATCAGCGTGTGAATCCGGGCTGTAGCAACTGGGCTAACAGGACTCCGGGAATCCCGGCTGTAGCAGGCTAGCAGGACTCCGGATGTCACCGCATGACATTTCCCCGAAGGGACAGACACAGGAACAAAGTGAATCACATGCCGTCTAGTCTAAGTGTTCTGGAGCAGTAGTGCTGGGCTAGCAGGACTCCGGTGAACCGGGCTGTAGCAGACTACCAGGGCTCAGTGGAAGCACTAGGGTACATTTCCCCATAAGAGAGGCTACCAAGGATAAACAACTAGGTTGTTGGATCCTACACATAGCAATACACGTCACACGTACGCATAACATGCAAGTATGTGTTGTACAACATGGCATCACAACATAACGCAAAATCATATAGAAAAAGGAGCAGAAGAGCCACATAGCATTAGATACAAACAGGGGTCACATGACCCATCATTCAGAGCCTACAAGCAACGGAAGTATTACATGTCTGAGTATAGACAACTACAAAAGAAAAAGGCCGAGAAGCCTGACTATCTACAAGTCCCTTCCAAGGGAACAAGATCGTAGCTGAGGTAACAAGCTACTCGTCGAAGTCCAAGTGGTACTACTAGTGAGACAGATGTCTCACCTGCAAAACATAAATAAAGCAAACGTGAGTACAAAGTTACTCAGCAAAACTTACATCAGATCCTACCATACATGAATTTGTATCAAGAAGGTAATGTGGGGTTTAGTTGCAGCAAGCCAGCTTTGACTCAACGGCTATCCTGTTCTACGACAACGAGAAACTTTATGCCCACTATCCGGGTGCCACTCGGTACACCGGGCCACGTGTGCCTAGTCTGCCCCAAGTCCACCCTGCCGGGTGCCACTCGGTAGAAAAATAGCACTACCTACAAACACCAGAAACTATTTGCTACTCTTGGACAGAGATCAAGGCGGTTAATAAGTCGAGAGAGCTTGGAGCGCCCGGAGCCCAATGTGTGGTAGTAGCTAGTCTTTGGACAACTTACACAGAACTCGGTTCTTAAGGACGGTCCCAATGAGACAACCCACCATGTACTCCTACATGGCCTCTCACCGCTACCTTTACCAAATCATGTTCACACGCTTAATTCTCAGCACCGGAACATATCGTAACACTCCAATTCATTCCCGATGAATCAGACCTGACACAACTCTAAGAAATAGCAGGCATGGCATGGTAGGAACACACATGGCTCAAACAACTCCTACACATGCTAGTGGGTTTTAACTATTTGCTGTGGCAATGACAGGTCATGCAGAGGAATGGGTTCAACTACCATAGCATAAATTAGCAGTTGAATCGTTGTTGTCCTAATGCAATAAATGAGAGTAGGATTGTATCGAAATGAACAAGGGGGGTTGCTTGCCTGGTAGATTAATAGGGGGGCACTGCTCCTTAGACAGGTACTCTGGAGAACTTTCCGGAGCAGGACCTATCGAGAGGGAACGGTGTCGGAAATCAAAACACAAGCATATGCAACAATATGATGCATGAACATGGCATGAAGATGTGGTGTTGTTTGAGTTAATGCAACTAGCATTTAACTTGGAAGAGGTCCATTTGAACCAAAGTTTCAAATGCAACTCTAATTAAAATCCCTTTAAATGCCATAAGTGTGTTTTCATATATACAGCATGTATAGGTTGGTTTGTCATACATGTAAATGGTACAGATGGATAGATTGAATTTTTCTGATAATTTTTTCATATATAAATTATTTCAATCTGAGCTACGGTTGAATTTCTATGAATTTTTGAAGTTTATAACATTTTATGGATTTTCCTGATTTATTTTAAATCCAGAAAACCATTACTACGTCAGCAAGTCAAAGGCGGCTGACCAGGTCAAAACTGACGTGTGGGGTCCACACGTTAGTGTCTGTGGCTAATCCTAAAATAAATTAAACCTAAACTGGTTTAGTTAATGGGGTTGGGACCATGCATCAGTGACCCAATTAGTTAACAGGGTTTAATTAGTTGTTAAACTAATCCTAGATTAGAAATTAGCAGGGCCGGGCCCCACATGTCAATGACCCATACGGGTTAAAACTGGTCAACTGGGGGGTCAAACACGGTCAATCCGCCAGCGTTTAGCCGCCGGCGAGGCAGAACGCGGTGGAGGGCCTGGGATTTGGTCCTCCGGTGACCAAAAGGGTCACGTAAACCATCTCCAAGGAGCTGGTGCTCGTGCGCATCTAGTGGAGGCGACGGAAGGACGCGGGGTGGCTGGAGCTCGCCGGAGCAGAGCTGCAGCGGCGGCCGGAGCACGGCTCCGAGGGGGAAGTGGCTGCAGGGCACGACAGGAGCTACGGGTGGCGGTGTTGGCCTTCTGGGAGGCTGCTGAGAGAGGTGGCAGGTGCGGGCGCGGGCTGCGGTGGCTCTGGCCACGACGGGGAGGTACCACGGCGGCGTGACTGCTCAGGTCCGGCGACTAGCGTGGCTACAGCATGAAATCGAGCGCGGGGACATAGGGGAAACGGAGGAGAGCTCACGGGGAGACCGTAGACGTCGTCAGCGAGCTCGGGGAGGGTCGAACGCGAGCGGAACGGCGACGGCGATCTCCGGTGGCCGGCGATGAAGATGACGGCGATGGAGGTGCTCTAGGGGCATCCGACAACACGTGGCTTGACGGAGAGAACGAGGACGACGGCGCGGAGCATCTGTGCAGGAAGCGAGGGCGAGGCCGTGACGGTGGCCGCGGCAACGGCGAGCGGTGGCGACGGAGCCGTTCGTGGGGGTGAGAGAGATAGGTCCGGGGAGGGGATGAGCATGGGGAGAGTGGGAGAGGGTTGAGGGGAGTGCGTGGCGACGCCAGAGGCGTCCAGGCCGTCGAGGGGGCAAGCAAGCAGGGTGGAGGTGGCGCGCATGTGTGCGCGTGCGTCGGGCACATGCCCTCATCCTCCTCGCAGAGGAGGAAGACGACAGGGGGAGGCTGCTGGGCTGGCCAACCAGCTGGGCCGGCTTCTCTCCTGGGCCAGGTAAGCCAAGTGAGGTTTTTCCCTTTTTTCTTTTTTTATTTCCTGTCAGTTGTTTTGACTTAGTAATAATACTAAATCATTTTATTTACTTCTGTCAAATTTTGCAGGGACCTAAGGGATTAATCCAAAGCCCCTCACCAAAATTCAGAATTTTTGGACATATATTATATATATAGCAAATATATATCCAAAGCAATTAATTACTGGATTAATTCCAAATGCCCAAAATAAATACTTATGAGCTCCTGAAAATGTTGGTTTGGTTTTTATCTCTGTCCAATATTTTTAGAGAGCAACATGAGCATTTTCTTGGACCTTTTTGGAGCAATTTTTTTATTTGGGTCATATCCAGAATGATTTTGAGGGTTTCACAAATCCCCATTTCAAATTTCAAAGAAATTTAAACATGATGCAAACATGAAGGCTAGCCTAGGTCATACCAGAACTAGGGATGTGACAACTCGCCCCCACTCGAAAGAATCTCGTCTCGAGATTCAGGGGTTGGCAGAAAGGAAGTGGGGTACTCTAGTCGAAGACGATCTTCTCGCTCCCAAGTAGCTTCTCTCTCGGAATGATGAGACCACTAAACCTTGAGAAACTTGATGTTATGACATCGAGTGACACGCTCTGCTTGATCAAGAATGCGAACAGGGTACTCTCGATAAGTGAGTTTATCTTGGAGATCAAGGGTACTCTCGATAAGAAATTTAAACATGATGCAAACATGAAGGCTAGCCTAGGTCATACCAGAACTAGGGATGTGACAAGTGGTGGCCGGGGGGAAACGGTTTTTTGGTGAAGTCAAACTTAGCGGTAGCGCTTTTCGCGAAACGCGCTATAGCTAAGTTAGCTATAGCGATTTTCACAAAACGCGCTACTGCTATAGCTATGTAATTTCCTTCATCTTTCTTATTTCCTTTTCTATTTCTACAACGGGGGTCTAGGAAACGCGCTGCAGCTACGTTAGCTATACCGCCTCTTACGAACAAACGCTACTGCTACGTCTTTCTCCTTTTTCCGCTTTCTCATTTATTTTGCTCTACATTTTATTTTTTTCCATTCTCCTTTTTATATTTCTTTCTTTTTTATTTACTTTTCCATTTGTTTTTTATTTTATTTTTACAATAGCGCTCTCTGCGTGAAACGCGCTGCTACTTATGTGCTAGCGGTAGCGCGCTTTCCTCGAGACCGCTACTGCTATGCGTAGCCTATCGGTTTTGCAAAGGGATATTAGTGGTAGTGCATTTTCATGCGCATGCGCTACTGCTACTATTGTATCTGTAGCGCGGTTTACGGACACGCGCTACTACTATTTAGCACTAGCGCCCTTTTTGACATGCGCTACTACTAAATTTCTGTGTATAAGGTTTTCCCTAGTAGTGCCAAGTCGAAAACCAAATGTGGCCAACACTCCCGCATCCTCTACTTGGAAGCCGACTTTTCCCACCGGATCTAACATAGATACATGATTCTTCAAGAGAAAATTTCAAAAAAAAAAGCATGGAAGGCTTTAAGTTGTACTATTGAGACCATACCACCATATCTTCATTTAATTTCTTTGGAAATCTAAAGGTCTAAGAGGACGGTACATGTGAGAAGCTATGAATCCACAACAAAAAACTAAACTAACTTCCAAACAAAAATTTTAAGTTTGGAAGCCACAAAGAAGCAGTCCAGATCTCTCGTTGTAGTGCAGATACATGTCCTTAATCCTGCATCCACAACCCATAATTTTTCAACACCTAAATCCACGAAATCCAACCGAAGGAAATCATGGCAGAAAATGCATCATGGCTTACGTTTCCGAGAAGGACTTCTTGGCATTCTTGTGCAGGTTGGACACAACAATCCTCGTTGCAAGCTGCAGAAGAACCACACAGGCACCTTCCTTCACCTTGCCCTTTGGGACGAGGGGGCAACACTTGTAGCGCCGCGACAAGGCCTCGTTAGATAAACCTTTACTCTTGTAATCTACGTTGGTGAATCCATTGATACCTTTCTTTACCATATGCTCATTGAACCTTAAAAACAAGATAAGTGGTCGACCTATCAAGACTAACCGCTTCAACTGACCAGAAAGAGAAATCGAAGCTAGCAGAAAAACAGATGATAGACATCCAAGGAAGAAACTTGTATGTACAGCCATGTCAATTGTTGCTTCAAAAGGCCAGTACTTCTCTGGAACTTGTTTCACCACAAGCCCAATGCTTTTTCACACAACTGCACGACAATGTACTTGGGTCCAAAGCAGGCCCAATAGAGTGAAATGAGCATATCAAAGTCAAAGATGCCAACATATACATTGGAAAACATGAAGTAATGATCTTGGATTAAATTTCATCCTAAAACCTGAACACGCACGTTGAATGTACCAAGTTGACAGTACGTCGCCAACTGGCCATTTAATAGGTAAAAAAACAAATTAGGTGAACGCTCACACTTATCTTACTACTTTATATTTCATCCTGGCAATTAATAAAATCAAGCATCGTCACTTTTATTGCCTCTTGCAGCAGGTTCATTCATTAGAATGTTACACACTGTATTTGTGTCCTATTTACTTATTAAGAAACTGTTCTCTTATCAAATTCTACAATTCTTTTGGTGATGTGAATTTTCAGGCCCCCACTGACTGTAACTACAACAAAACACAATTTTCTCTTTGAGAAGAAGCATACAGAAACAATCATAGTCCAACAAAAATCTGTCGAAGCTACTAAAGATCTGCATACTCTGCTTCGACCATTTTAATAGCAGGTAAAACTTTAGTTGTCAGGAGACCTTCATAGGGAGTCTTCTCCAGGTTCACATATTCAGTGGAAGAAACTACCATCAGTATATACATGCTATAGAAGATTGAGTGATCACTATTTGGAAGTACTTATAACTAACTGGTGGCCTTGGATGGAACAAAGAAAATCTGGATTTGATTTAGATTATGCTACATTATGACCAGGTTTGTAATCACCTGGGAGGAATGACCCTAGAAAAATCTCAGACTATATATGTTACTATCGAGGCTAGTGTTGTCCAATAGAACTGTAGTTATTAGAATGTACCTCAATAGCGCATCAGTGACATCTTAGGCATCTACTATGTGTTAGAATCTGTTGTTTCCCATTTCTCTCAGCCTCCTACTTCAGCCCATCTACTGCGATGTCCCCCTCCCGCGGGCATCAACAATCCTATTGGTGGACTGTAAGCAGAAGAAAAAGATTGAAACAGCCGATCATATTCAAACCAAGAAGAAACATAATCAAAAGAAAATTCGGGACAACGTTGTACTGATCAACGCAACCATCACCTCATAATTGAATTTTTGCTTGTTGTCTTCCATATCTATCATACTGTATATGATATCCCACTCCTACAAAGCTCACACCACTATGAAATGAGATAGTCGTAAACCCATAAGATTTTTGCACACTATCTTTCAAGAAAAATCTAGGCCACAATAATTGATCATGCTCATGTCCAAACCCAGTAACTCTTCTATTATGCATCAAGATGATTTATATCAACTATAAATATTCGTTTGTCCATTTCATCAGAGAGGTTATAAGCATAATGCCATTGAAAAAAAGATAAAAATGGACAGCCTACCTTTGTCATGGTGATGAGAGCTAATTTTATAGGAAATGCACCCAGGAGACACAAGCCTTAGTCTATATATGTACCTGTCATGGCAATAATGTTAAGAGAAATGAAGTTGAATATAACACACCAAATACCCAATTGAATATCAAAATAACTTAAATTGTACAGTAGTGGGATGAAAATACCAACCTATATTTCTTCAGTATAGGCAACCAGTTCTAGAGCTAATGTTACATTTTCATCTCCAACGTACATACATAACACACCTAATTTGACTAAGTTCAACTGATGCCGCAAAACCAGCTCCTTCACTGAAAAGGGAAAACAATTTCATAACCAAAATGAGGAGTTTGATAAAATAGATCTCCATCACCATTGTTGTGGATTTGTCCTTTATCTTAACAAAATAAATACGAAAGAGCACACTTTTGCCAAATATATCTTAATTGATATGTATAGCAAGAAACATGGGAGAAATTTTCCTACCTCAACATGGACTAAGTACTAACCATCAAAATTGCAGCTGAAGAAAACAAATAATCTGCGCATAGAAAAGGAAAAGGAAAGCCGGTGGTAGACTTCATGACACTGGTTATCATGGAACCAAAACAGAGCTAGCGAGAAATCATGGAGCGAGCAAGCCAAGTAGCGAATTGAGCCTCCCATCTTGACTCAATAGGTTCCTGAGGATCAGCGATATTTGCCAGAACTATCCCAGATTCTGGTGCTCCTGCAACAACCCTGACAAGTCACCGAGGACATCCAATCCGACGACCCTGCAGACATGATGAAAAGACACGAATTCAGAACGACAGTCCACCCAACAAACGCAACAAAATACAAAAGAGTGTGGTAAAGACAACTGTGAAATTTAAGCGTAAATCCATCTAAATTTAACACATACAATCCAGCAAGTTGAAACCTTCAAGCTCACATTATGGTATTTGCTTCAAGGATAAACAAATCATGGATGCAATCCAGCAAGAGAAGAGCAATTTAACAACTACATTAAGGAATTTAGAGCATGTTAGCATTTTATTTATGTGATGATGAATGTCTCAATCAAAATTCATATATCTCAGAGATGCAGTGCAACAATCAAATGCAGATTAAAACAGTGGAGAGGGAGGGTGAAGAAGAAGGAAGAAATGCAAAAAAATCTCACCTTCCCAGGAGGGTGGAGATGCTCACCTGAAGTAGGAAAGAGGGAGGAACGAGGGTGCACTGCACGTCCAGCTCGCCATCAGGGAGATGACCCCTTCGTCGCCTCCAACATCGTACATCATCTGCTCGCCAACGAGCAGCACCTCCTCACGGACGACCTCCTCATGCACCTTCCCGAGCTCGAACTCCATGCCGTCGTCCAGGTTCTGGATCCGACACAGCTCCCCGCCGCTGCCGATGCCTCCAATGCTCTGGTTGCGCGCCAGCGGCGACTTCCCGTGCCTGCTGGATCTGGGAAGGTTGTCCTCCTCCACGGGCCCCGCCTCCTCCGGAGTAGGCGAAGTGGGCGGCGGGGAGGGAGAGGGGGAGCGGGAGCGGGGCGGCGGCGGGAGAGGGGAGGGGATGGAGATGGAGTGGCGGCTGGTTGAGACAAGCACTACTAGGAAAATGCTTAGCAGTAGCGCTGGTTTTGAGCTACTAGTAGCGCGGGCACCAGCGCTACTGCTACGGTGCTACAACTATTTTGTAGCAGTAGCGCGTTTTTAGGCTAGTGCTACTGGTAAGTTCAAGTACTAGTAGTGCGTTTTCAGGCCCGCGCTACTACTAACATTTATTTTTTTAGCATTTTGGCGATGTACATGTTTAAACAGATATATTTTTTATACAATAACAACTCATCACGAACTAGTCTGTTTAAATAGCATATTCATTAGCACTTATCATCACCATTAAACAATGTTCGTCAATGAGACACCATATAACAAGTTGGTCACTAGTCATAATCACAACTCCTCCTCATCATCATCAACTCTAACACATTGTAGCACATAATAACACATTCTAGCTACGACCTACTCCTCTCATAGGACCTACTCTACCCTCTCTTAGGTAAAATATCATAAAACAAGATAGGCATTGGCGCTGCATTAAGGAAAATTGACTCTCCATAATAAAGAACAGAGATCATCCTGTCTCCAAGTCTTGGCCTACGCACAATGTTGCTTCCAAGTAGATCTCTAAGATGGTTCAAACATTTTTTGAAATCATCTATTATCATGGCTTCCTCGCTTTTAGAAATACGGTATGGACAGGAGTGATGTGGATACTGCGGCTGACCTGGCCGTGGTGGCCGTAAGCTCATAACATTAACGCGACCTCTCGTCAACATCAGATGAGGCACACAATCCATCGGGATTTTCTGTTCAAAAACATAGTAATAACTTTGTAGTTAGCAATATAGTTTAGTTTTAGAAGAATTTATGCAAAAGATGCACGGATGTCGTAATAGTAGAAAATCTTACCATGATATCTCCATTGATGTTACCGTAGTTCAACACGTTCACTAGTGGCACGTATTGACCATAATGTGGAGGAGTTTGATAATAGCTATTGTAATTCTCAATATCAGTAAAAGATGCGATAAGACTATCTTGCTCCTTATAAGTTAATTGTGCTTCATCATTGTAGTAGTAGGTTCTGTCTACCATTTTCCATACATTTTTTGAAGAATGAAAATAAGCTGTCAATGGAAATAAACTATCAAATATTTTGAAATAAACAATATAAATTACTTAGTAAATATGTTTAAGAAACTCACACAGCGGTAGAACCGGAAGCGTGTCAACAAGGACCCAAATGGTCATATCATTTTCGTCGATGTGAGGATCACCAAGATCGAAGGTGAGAAGCTTACCCTCATGAAAATCATACGCCTTGCAAAGGGCTTCCCAATTCAGGCAACCAAAATTGGATGAGTTCACAGAATTGTATAGATTTAAAGCAAAAACATAACCATGATGGGTCCTTAGTTGAATTATCTTTGTCTCCATTCTTTCATGATCTTCAAAACCCATCTTCTCCAAGACATAGCGTCTTGCATGGCATGCGATAAGCTAGTCGAATTGTAAAAGACGGAAATTACACGTTGAAGAAGCAGAGAAGTTGTGCAAAAAATAAAAAAAACACTTGTCGTCATTGCGTACCATTTCAACATCGAAGGTCTCTTGGAGCTTGATGCTGAAGCGCCGACCTTCTACCAAGTGAGGCCTGTCGCACAGACCGCGCTCATCTTCGTAGTACTCGCACATAGCGAATTCCCTTTCGTCGTCAGACATTTCCTAATAGGTAATTAATAATCCATCATCGAATACATATATAATAGTTTGTAGCAAAGATCATCATATAACAACTAAAACACCTAAAATTTGTAGTTTGTAGTAGTTTGTAGAAAAGATCATCATATAATCCATCATGAATACATATATAGTAGGTTGTAGCACAAACCGCGCTCATCTTTTGCATTGAATAAGCAAATAACTAATAGGTAATAAATAATCCATCATCGAGTACATATATAGTAGTTTGTAGCAAAGATCATCATATAATATCACTAATACATCTCGAATAATAGCTCCTCTAGGTTCAGTGGGCCGTGGTGGACACCCAAAGAGAAGGAACCATCACCGGATCATAGCTCCTGTGAGATCCCCAAAGAATTTGCCAGGTATTGGAGAACCGGCCATTCTCCAACGCAACCAAGTAGCATTGGACGTGCACGTTCTCCTCCGTGACACGGTGCTGTACCACCTGCACGGGGGACTCAAGCCTCTCCACCGATGCAGGCCCACATGACGGCCACCAAAGAAGCTCCAGGTCGACGAGGGGTTGGCTACTCACTAAGCTGCGCTCACGAGAAGGTAGTACAAGCCAGTACCAGCCTGGCGGAGCCCAGTCCCGGACATGGCCCCTCGGCTCAACCAGGAGTCCTCCGCCGAGTCGACGACGAGGATGCAGGATAGGCATGGTCGACGTCGAGAACAAAATGCTTAATTATGAAAACAAAATCAATAAACACTTAGCAAAATTTGACATGACCTTTGCTAAAAACAGGACATATCGAGCGCCTGAAATTTGCCAGAACGTAAACGAATTGACATTTCTGGCAAAACATAGGCCACTCGGAAAAATATGACATGTCCAAAATGTGACATGTTCAAAATATGACATGTCCACTGCAAATTTGCATATAACAGGAAAAATTGCTTTAACTAACAAAAATAACAACAATTGCTTTAACTAAAAAAATACCTAGAATTCTATTAACTACACCTCAAACAACTAAAACACCTAAAATTCTGTTAACTACACCTAAAACCACTAAAACACCTAAAACTCTTTTAAATACACTTAAAACACCTAAATTCTATTAACTACACCTAATTAAAAACCTAGCTAAATTTCTGTCCTAACTTTAAAACCTAGCTAAATTTAAAAACCTAGGGTTCATACGAATTAACTAGGGTTCATACCTAATCTGTCCAAGCAAGGGTTCGATCATGCATAACCTAAATTATTCTAATAACCTACATTTTTTCAACTACATAATTCAAAATAACTACTCTAATAACTATAACTAGGGAGGGAGGGAGGAGGGAGGAGTACCTCTTGGTGGAGGAGGGCCGTCGCGGGGGCCGGGCGGTGGGCGGAGGAGGGAGGCCGACGTGTGTGAGCTGGGCGGCCGTCGGGGAGGAGGGCTGGCGCGGGTGAGGGAGTCCTGGATTATGGGGTCTTTGGACAGCCGAACTTTTGGACTATGAAGACACAAGATTGAAGACTTCGTCTCGTGTCCGGATGGGACTCTACTTGGCGTGGAAGGCAAGCTAGGCAATACGGATATGTATATCTCCTCCTTTGTAACCGACCTTGTGTAACCCTAGCCCCCTCTGGTGTCTATATAAACCAGAGGGTTTTAGTCCGTAGGACAACATACAATCATACCATAGGCTAGCTTCTAGGGTTTAGCCTTTGTGATCTCGTGGTAGATCAACTCTTGTACTACTCATATTATCAAGAATAATCAAGCAGGACGTAGGGTTTTACCTCCATCAAGAGGGCCAGAACCTGGGTAAAACATCGTGTCCCCTGCCTCCTATTAGCATCCGCCCTAGACGCACAGTTCGGGACCCCCTACCCGAGATCCGCCGGTTTTGACACCGACATTGGTGCTTTCATTGAGAGTTCCACTTTGTCGCCGCCGTAAGGAAGGATGCCTCATCTCATAGTTAAAAACAACATTACCGCCAGGGGAGCCCTAGCTGTCAGCCAAACTCTCCGGCTTGGCAGTTTCATCATGACCGCCCGTTCGGCCGCTGCACCGATGATGACCTCTCGGGTCATCAAAAACAGCCTCCATGTCCGCTCGGAATTTGCCAAGAAGATGGATCCAATGGAGCTCTCTTCCCTAAATGAGCTCTTGGATCGTATCGCCGCCTTGGGAGTCGCTACAGACTATGATCGGATTGGGCTTAAACCCGATCGAAGGGAGATTAACTCTCCACCGGTCACCCATCATATTGCGATGGTGGAGGAACAATGCGGCGATTCTTCCTCTATCTTGAGGACTAACTATGTCCGGATTCCTGAGCTCTCCGAGCCGGATTCCCGTTTACGGGAGGACATCACCCAAGCCCTGAACCCAAGCAGCGTGCCAGACTTATCGGGCAACACTCCGAAATCCGAACTTCCAAGATTGGAAACTCATCGGCCCCTGGGTCTCAGATCAGGTAGGGGTTCAGACTCAAATCCACCAACCCACCCAGACATAAATGATCTTTCCCACATCAGGCAAGAGCCCCATGAAATAGTACATCATTATTGGGCTAGATTCCTCCTTGTGATGAACAAGGTTAAGGACTCTCGCGAGGAAGACGCAGTCTCATTCTTCTACAATAATTGCACGGACAAGGGAATCCTTAACGCCTTAAGTCGCCGTGACATATCACGCTTCGTTGACTTGGCGTCCATAGTACGAAAGTACTGTGCGATGGAAAGCGCCTGGAAAACCGAAACGAAATTTTGGGATAATCCGGCTCGGAATATACAGCCAGTCCGAAGTAAAAGGGTGCACTATCATAAGACACCCGAGTTAGTTACAAAGAAACAAAAACCCTCTACAGGGCATGGAACCGTATTGGAGGGATGGCTTAACGGACCCTGCAAAATTCATAGTACAGCGGATACCATACCAACACACAGCCTTAGAGCATGTTGGATACTCCGGCAGGTGGCCAAAAGTGGTGAGGATCTTCTCATCCCAAATGCCACAGAGCACCATCCCGTGGATAACAATACGGTATTAATAGTCTTTGAATCCTTCGCATCAAATAATAGGCGTAAGCGAACACTTCGCAGC